GGGGGGGGGGGGTAATAGGAACTTAGCATAGTATAAGTGTGTCTCTGAAATTTCGGGCATAGGTTGAGGGGGTGCTTGTGCATTATCCCTTTATTTTATTGTTTTTAGTTGGAAACTTTACTGTTTTTCTATATATACGTTTATTGTTTTCATTTCTTTTTATACATAGATCATTTTTATTTCTTTAATTTATTTTATTTTTTTAATTGAAAACTTTTTTGTTTCCTATCTACATGTGTTGTTTTTATTTCTTATTATATATAGATCATTTTCATTTCTATTAGAAGTTGATTGTATATTTTTAACGGTACATATGCTAATAAAATATTAACATTATATATTACTCATTTTATTAGCATGCATTATTATTTTGTAATTGATATATTTTAATAATTAATAACAAGTTTCATATTCAATAGTTAGTAATTCATGTATTGTAATCTCTACATAACTAAATAATACCTACATAACTAATATCCACATAGCTAATATACCCGCATAATTAAACCCAACATAACTAAACTCCACATAACTAATACCTGCATAATTAAACTCTTCAAAGCTAAAATCTGCATAACTCTAACCGGTGACCAAACGGCCCCTTAATGCACAATAGAGTGCTCAACTAATGCAGCATTAGTTATACATATGTTGAAAAAGAGTAACAAACGAGGTGCTAGCAATACACAAGGTTAAATGCATATATTATTTTTTCAATATACTCTACCAAACAATCCCTTAACATAAAAATTAAAAAATGAAAGTTGGAATTGATATTTATACCACAAGATCAACTATAAAACAAAGAAGACATTTATACCTCAAAAAAATGTCACTTTTATAAATTGTTTGAGCAACTTTCTTATATTAGTTTATTTTGAATTATCTAAAATTTAAGAAAAATAGTCTTTTAAAAAAGTTGGTTGGGAGAAGTGATTTGTTGTTTAATCAGTTAATTTAAAATAGACTTTTGAGTGATTTAGTGTTTCCTAATAATTTCTTAAAAAATATTTCTAAGTGTAACTTTTTCTCAAAAGTATTTTTAGTAAAATTATATTTTTTTATTTTCTGAAAATCAGTTTCTGTTAATTTAATAATTTTGACCTCTTAACATATAGGACAAACTGGTTATTGCTTCACTAATTGTTAAAGGAGAAAAGACGAAGAACGACGAAAAATTTGGCAAATGAACACAAAATGAATACTCCCTCTTATTGAAGAAAAAACACAAACTCAAATACTAACCACTATAAATCAATTGCTTAATCTAAAAAACTCCAAAATGCATAATGATATAACCTTTAACATTCTTCTAAAACTTGATGTCAAATCGCTTTTACGATTCAAATGCATTTGCAAATCATGGTGCACTTTAATTGAAGATCCTAAATTCATCAAGCATCACTACGATATGTCTCAAAAGGATGTGAATTGTCATAAATTCTTTTTAACTGGTGGTGAATGGAACAATGAGGACGATTATTTCTACTCTGTAGACACTCCACTTCAATATGATTCTGTTGCCTCTCTTATCGAGTCTCGGATTCCAAGAATCAGTCATTTAAGTAGCTTAAGTTTTGTTAGTTCTTCTAATAATGGTATAATTCTTATGGTTTTTCCTTATGATTTAATCATTTTGTGGAACCCGGCCATCGATGTATTATGGACGTTGCTTGAGGCGAGTGAAATTAATGAAAATTAATGAATACATAATTTTTTTAAGGTATAAAGGTGAGTTCGAGATCTATAATACAAATGGAGAGAGAGGCAAAATAATTGAAGTTCCTGAGATTGAGTCATTGTTTTACTATATCAATTGGATTGTACCAGATGTAGAAAGTTTGTTTTCTCCTAAACAGAGACAAATTCAAATTTTTAAGAAGATGGATGCGTCAAATACCAAAAAACAAGAGGAATGTAATCTTGAAAGAATAATTCGAACTTAGTTAAAATGCAAGGAACGATATAAGAAATGCTCATAATCTTGTTGAATTAGGCTAGTTAAATTTTGTCTATTAATCATTTCATGTACTTTTTAGTTTGTATTCGCGTGATCTGATTTTCTTGTATTGTTTTAACTTTCTTTTACTTTATTGTTTCTATAAATTAAATTTGATAACTCTTAATGCAAATATTTAAAGATATACTTTTCAATTTTCGCATGTTAGATTGGTAAATTTTTCCAATTTTAGTATGTTAGATTGGTGAATTTTTTTAAAAAGATATATTCTTTTAAGGAATACAAGTTTCATAAAAATAGAAAAAATAATTACCCAAATATAAGTAGAGAAATAAATTTGAACAATTAACATTCTATGTATGATTAATGCACATTCACCATCCAATACCTCATCTTCGAAGTCACCACATCCCCACTATTCCCAAATGACCAAACCTTTCTCCGTCCACACCCATCTCCCATAATTAATATTTATCGTGATCATATATAAATACTTTTCAAATAACTAATAATTCTGACTTACATACTGAATACAAAAAAATGTGCAAGAAATCTACTCTTTTTTTTAAAAAAAAAATAATATTTTTTCATGAAAAATGAATTTTCCTATATACCGAACACACCCTAGATCCTTTATGGGAATTTGATAAGTGTTTTGCTAAATGAGTTAAATGCGGATCCGAAACTTAAAGAGTACAAAATATTAACAAAAATTCCTAAACGATATATAAAATTTTATATTATCCAAAAGGGTAAAATCGCTGCAGATGCAGCGACTTACCTCACCTGAAAAAGCAAAATCGCTGCCTCGGCAGCGATCTTGCACAAGTTATTTTTTTTAATAAAAAAATGAAATTTCAAAATTTTATTTCTTAAAAATCGATGCCAAGGCAGCGATTTTAATTTTATTTTTTAAAAAAAGGTACATCTCTGCCTTGGCAGCGATTTATAAAAACAAAAAAATTATTTTTAAAATCGCTGCCTAGGCAGCGATTTATAATTTTTTTTAAAATCGCTGCCACACCAGCGATTTAACATTTTGTAAAATTAAAAAAAATATATATAAATCGCTGCCTTGGCAGCATTTTTATAAAAAAAATAAATTTTAAATCACTGCCTAGGAAGCTATTTTTAAAAAAAAAATAAAAAAAATGTTAAAGCATCAATTTTATATAAAAAAAATTATAATATTTTTTAAAATTTAAATATATAACTTATAAGAAAATATACATTATTTTAAAAAAAATTAAAAATAAGTAAAGTAATAAATATATTTTCTTTCTAAAAAAAGATATTATATTGAATTTAAATTTAAATAATATTTGAATTCAAATAAAATTTTAAATTCAAAAAATTAATTTTTTTAAATAAAAATTAAAGGCAGCGATTTTATTGAATTTTTTTAAAAAACAAAATGATATATATATATATATATATATATATATATATATGAAAAAAATAAAATAAGATAATCACATGATGGATCACATGTGAATAGTAAAGATTTTGTTTTTGTTGTAAATAGTTGAATAGAGAGTTCACATGTAAGTAGTATTAATATGTTTACAATGCTATAAATTGGTGAATTATCCTTCATATTCATATTGCATTCTACTTTCAATCTTCCAACAATCTTAAATTCTTGTTATTTTTCAAATTTTCTAAAGTTTTTAAAAGTCTTTTCTTTATAAGGTGAGTTTAAATTTATTTTATTTTAATTAATTTTATACTTTTATATGATATTGTTGATATATTCAATCGTTTGATACTTATATTAATGTCAATATTTCTTTTTATTTTTTGTGTATAGATATGCATCCGTCAAATGTATACGTACATCCTGGTCCTGTAGAGCATGATGTATTAAAAATTCAAGTTCATCATCGTTCCGAAGGAATTTGGAATGGTAGCATAAAAGAAGAGAGGTCTTGCTTATATACGCGTTGTGGTGATATTGAATTTTGGCAACATATAAAATATCATCTATTACATTCTCGCATCCTTCAATATTTTGAAAATTGTAGATTTAAAGGAATTCTTGATGTAGGATGTGTGTCGTATGACTCCCGATTAATTTCTGCTTTAATTGAAACGTGGCGTCCAGAAACTCATACTTTTCACATGCGAACTGGCGAGACTACCATAACTTAACAAGATATTGAAATTTTATTCGGAATGGTAGTAGATGGTAGTCCTATAATTTTAAATAGATCTGATTCTTTAGGGATTATAGGTAGACAAGAAATGATATTTGAATTAACAGGATGGTTACCCGATACTAGTTGTTTTTCTGGTGTTAGTAGATTGTTAACATATAAAATGATTGAGTATATCGAAGGTTTGGATGGTATTAATGATAACTCAACTGAGCATGAAGTTCAACAAAGATTTAGATTATATTTATTATGGTTATGTGGTGGATCAATATTTCCGGATAAATCTAATAATAAGATTAATTTGGACATTTTAATTGATATGAGAAATTTAGATTTAATGTCAACTCAAGCATGGGGATCAGCCGCATTATCATATTTGTATAATTGTTTATGCCGTGCGTCAATGAAAAAATCAAATGAAGTTTGTGGATTTCTCTCTTTAGTGCAGGTATACATATTTTTTAATTAAATATTTTTTATATACTAGTAATATGCACTTTTAAATTTAAGTGCATTATAAGTAATGGTGAATTTATTTATTGTAGATTTGGGCATGGGAAAGAATCCCTGCAACCATTGCCAAAGCCTCTAAGAACCAATCAACTTGAGGCAATTGCGCTTGCACGTAAATGGATGCAACGTAGAAATCATCAAAATGAGGCACGAACTGTAATCGGTGTGATTAGGGATGTACTAGATAATCTAACTGATGAACAGGTATTTAATATTATTAGTATCTTAAACTATTCATATTTTATTTTATTTTAAATAAAAATATATTTGGTAGATCTTTAAATGAGGCACTTATGTTTCACTACCCAAGAAAATTATGTGAATAAAATGGCATATACATAGATTCTTGTTAGGTCCTTAAAAGTAAAATATGTTATGACACAATGGTACAAAAAAATTATTTTGTAAGATTGTTCATTTTCACGTACATATTTTTTTTCTGCCAATGTTGTTTTTATAATTATCTTACTTAATTATTTTTTATAGTTTATTTGGCAGCCTTATTCGGAAGATGTTATTAATGGATTGCCTGAGTGGTGTCGGTCACGACAACGTGTCTGGATGACACAGGTGCCACTGATTTATGGAAGATGAATTTTTCGAATGTAAGTATAATAGTTTTCATACAATTTTTTTAACTTTTTATAATTTTTTTTAATTTTATTGCATGTTTATTTGATTATATTATATTATATTGTATTATAGGTAACTGTGTCAGATGATTCAAAATTTAATGCTAAGGCTTCACAAAATTTAGTTCTTAATAGACAAAATCCACCTCGGAGAACATCTAGGCTACACAAATCAACTAGATGTGGAACAGACAGTCACTATCAAAATGAGGAAGATTTTGAAAATGAAGATGAAAATGAAGATAATGAAGATTCGAATTCAGAACAACATTTTTTTTTATGCACCTTTATTTTAAAAGGCTGAAGATTCGAATTTTAAAATATGTAAATTTTGTTGTTTCGTGCAAGTTTGAACAAAGTAATGAGATTCTTCTTTTTTTTTTTATGTTTGAACAAGTTTGCAGGATTTAATTTTTTTTATGTCATAGGTCAAATCAATACTTTTTATGTTACGTCAAATCAATATTTTTTATATTAGGTCAAATCATTATTTTTTAATAGAGGTCAAATCAATAATATAATAATAATGTAAAGATATTATATGTACAATATTTAAAATGCACAAGACAAATTAAATTATAATAGGTGCATTATCCACATTATCATCATCGTCATCATACATATCATCACTGTCTGTTAATTCATGCTCGGAAGGTTCATCATTGTGCAACTCACCAACTCGTTCATCACCCAATAGAACAAGAGAGTGAAGGAGTACTGAGTAGGATTGTACAACATTAAAGGTTTAACGAATTTATTGAAAAAATCACACTATTTTGGTATCAGAGCCTTAGATCTAAAAGACCTTATATGAAAAAAGATTATTATTTTAGAAAAACATTTGCTTACCATAGAACTTTATTTTATAATAAACAACATTTAAAAATAGTTAGATTATATAAAAAATCCTTAGAAAGACATTTATTTACATTAAAATTAAGATTATCTTTAACTTATACATATAAAAATTCTGTAAAGACACTTAAGAGAAACTCTTAGACAATCTCAACAACAAATTAGTGAAGAATTAAATCAAGTAGAGTTTGAAATAAAAGAAGTAAAAGAAAGAATAAAAATAATTAAAAATAATCCTTATTACTATAATTCGGTAGGATAATATATGAGAAGACCATATAAAAATACTAGAGAATATAAAAAGGCTAAAAGAGAATTACAAGGCTTATATGTAAATGCAGATACATTACTAAAAGACCTAAAAATTACAAGCTTTAAAAAGGAAATAACTAATAAATTAGATTATATATTTTTCTTAGCTAGAAACTTAGAAAAAAAATTAATAAAACATCTTAGATCTAGAAATATTTCAATCAAAAATACTTTATGAGAAATCTTCCATTTGCTAGAAGTATAAGATTTGAATTTTGGATATTATATAGAGATATAGAACAAAAGAAAAGATTACAAAGAATAG